ACTGAAAAAAGATCTTTCACAATTTTTTTTTTAAATCTGGTTGATTGACACTTTGCAATCTGTTCATTGAGAAAGACCTATTTTGGTAGATTCTACTCTTATTGAGAACACTTTTTGTGAAAAGTTTGGGAAACTGTTGAAGTATTTTGTGCTGTCAGTCTTTTCAGTGAAAACTGCACTTTTAAGATCAGTGGTGGTTTTTCATTTCCAGAGTTAAGGTACCTGAGGAAAAAGAATCAAGAATGGAAAAACAGGAAAAACAAAATAAAACATTGGACTTCACCCAAATAGAAGTATTTCTAAAACCATTAGCTTGCAAAATATTGAACTCGACTTTTCATTCAGACTTGAGTATTTTTTGAGCTCAGAAATTTTTCATGGAAAGAAACAATTTTCCTTCTTATTCTATCCAGAGGGACCAGTCAGAAAGAACCATGCTGTTTACTATTACTATTTTTGTCCCTAAGCTTTTTTCTTTCCATATTTCTTCTCTTTTATTTCCTTTTTTTTCCTTGCTTTCCCTCTTTTCCTTTCTTAAAATGCCCTATCTATTGCAAAGCAGAAGAAACTTGAGTCCGGAATGGAAGATTCTTTGCTCTTGCTCTCCTTTTTTCCTCTGTTTATTCAGAAGGAGTAAGAAAAGAGCTATATTAAGCTGAAATTTTATTCTGCTGTCCTCTGTTGAACAAAAGATAGTCCACTAAAGCCACTAAATCACAGATAACACTTCTCTGGGCAACATTATTAGGAGCTGACAGCTGGAGATAAATGAAGATCTCATCTTTTAAAGAAAAAAGTACATTTAATTTCCTTTGTACATAAAATAGAGAGCACAGCATTGTGTATCTGAAGATAAAAAGAGAGCCATTGTATGCTGCATGCCACCCTTAGGGGGATATAACACTGGGTCTGTGTTTCTGAGCTTACATTTTACAGGGCATATTCAAATTCATTTAGAAACCACTATTCTTCAATTCTTGGTAGACGATGAACTTTAAAAAAAGAGGGTGACATTTTACAGCCAGCTCCATTAGAAAAGAGCAGCTCAGAGACTGAACTGTTACTTTTCAGGAGGAACACTGGAAGACAGGACAGAAAAAGGAGGGAGAATGGACCTGTAGGGCAGAGAGATGGGTTTACCCCTGATCCTGCATGGGATTAAGCAATATTCCTGGGAGCCACTGGGCCTTCTTGAGGTTGATACCATAATGGATTTGGTACTGAACACACAAAGTGGAGTTGGTATCAAACATCAAGGACCTCATCACCTACCTTGAAAGTGACATGCTAAAAAGGTATGGTCATTTTTTGCCATTGAGGCACATCAGGCCAGACTCCAAGTATGTCAGGTGAAAGTGCATCGACTTCTCCTACAGAGGCACTGGCAATGCACAGTACTCCCTTATTTCTGGGGGCTTTTTTGGTGGGCTGTTTTTTTCTTTCCCAAGTGACCTGTGACTATGACACATATACTACTCACATTTGCAATGTATAACCATATTTTACATGTCCATTCTGCAGCACTACCAGCTGCTGCCTTGGCTGAATTTAATTTTAACACAAGCAGCATGGAAACCACGAGGGTGAAACTTTAATTGCCTGTGTTAAGCAAGACAGTTAAACATGCAGTTAAAACACACATTCAACAAGAAAATATGGTCAGTCTGATTCCAGTGGTATGAAAGACTGCTTTGGCCTCCTGGGGAAGAGTACAAGTTCTAAGAAAAACATCTGTATGGAGTTTTTGTTTCTAACTCTAGAGACTATTTGTGTCTTGGCTGAGTCTGGTTGCAAGTCCTTGTAAAAAATGAAGGCCTAAGAGTAAGCAATTATCTTCCTTTGATTAAAACCTTCCAGTTAGCTAGTCTAAAATAAGAGTGGAAATTTTTTTGTGAACCTTACTCCAGTGAAGGATGTAAAGCGGTTTTCCACTGAAAACACTGACAATAAGCAGCCTTTGCAACCATAAAAGCTTAAGTAAAATTCTTTGAGCATATTTATGTAAAAATAGTTATTTTGCTTTCCTAAGACTTCAAATCATTCCATTCTTTTCTCTATTTCTTCATTCTTTTTTTTTCTCTTTTTTTTTTTTCCCCAAGTGGACATAAAGTAGCAGCAAAGGATAATATTAGGCTTTCACATTTTTTGCAGAAATAAAACCCTCTGGAAAATACAGAATATAAAATGAAACTCGCCATGGACTTGTGCTGGAAATTCAAACATAGCAACTCAGAGCAAAGTCGAGATCATCAAGAAGTACAAGGGTCTGTGTAGTTATTTCAGAAGGTAAAACCTACTGTTTTAAGTTTCACCTATACACACACACGTACAATGAAACAAGAAGTGTCCATGGAAAACATCCAATGAACAGTGACCTTTAGGTCGCTCCAAGTTGCTGCTTTTCTGTGAAGAAATGGATTTCTTCCTCTGCTTCTTGGGACTGGTCCCCAGGTTATGAGATAGGTTTAAGTTATTTTTCAGAAGTTTCTCCATTCTATATTTTAGTGTAAACTCCCATCACTCATGTCCTATTACACCATGACCTACCTTTTTTGGGTGGCTGGACCCATCTTCAAGACCTTCAAGAGGATCACTATTAGCAAGATTGTTCTCTGCATTTTGATTCTCTTAAGTTTTTAACAGTGAACTGCTCATCCAGACGTATTTAGTAGCTTTGAAATTCAACTGCTGTGCTACTCAGTAGTTTACAAACCTTGTTTGCACTGCAGTAGCTACAGCTTTTGCTAAGGCTCTCCTTCGTCTGTTACAGATGAATGAAGATATTGAGCATGTTCTCTTTTGGGTCATCCATGCGTCCGCACATTCAAAGTGCTACAGAAAAACCACACTCAATAGGCAGGATCCACAGGGCTGATCTCACACAAAGATCAGGTCCACATTTTGAGCTGCACACAGCTGCCACTGGGAACCATCCAGACAGATACCCATATATCTGTGGTGCTATGCTGACCTCTCCCTATCTCTGGAGACAGGTACTCCAGATTCCCTGCACTTCTACATCCTACTGCTTTTCTTGTTACAGAAGATCCCAAAGACCAACCTTGCTAATTTTTTTGAGAGAAAAGCACTTTCTCCCTTATTGTCAAAATAGGGATTTTGAAACTGATTTTTCAGTCACACAGACACCTAGCCAGAATTCCTTCTTTTATTTCTCATTTCAGCAAACTGATTAGAAGATCTGGCTTCTTCAGTCCTCTCTTTTACCTTTGTAATACTTAACACCTCTCACTAAAGCCTTGTTTTCATTCCCCTCAGACCTGTATATGCCAGTTACCAAAAAGGATGCAAAAATATCAATCAGTGGCTCAGACTGACAATTGCATTTAATTACCTCTGACACCCTCCAGCCACAAATGTGTAGAATTACAATTCAGGAATTGAACAAGGATGTCTCCAGGTGCCTTGGAGATAACCAGAAGTGCTATAACTGGCTTTCAAAAGGATAGTTCAAATAAGCAGCTGAACTAAGCATGAGTTCTGAACCAATTGAAGTTTGCCTCTCCTGCTAGTGTTATGAACTGTAATTGTCCACATTTCTGGAGTGCCTTCTACTCTAGGTTGCACGACAACTTAAGAGACTTAATTGGCTCTCAACGCCCCTTTCAAAAGTATCACTTCCAATTCAATGGCTAAGAAAAGGATAGCATAAAACATGAAGCCATTGTTCAAGTGCTTGGCAATAAAGATGAACTGCTGAAATGGCTCTTCCCATTTTATGAAAAGTACAGCTTCTGTACCAGTTATTATTACTTTGAGGGTTTTTTAATTCATATATGAGTCAACAGCATTAATAAAAATGGTGGAATTTTATTTGAGTGGACTATCAATAGATATGGGCTGTCGTCAAAAGGAAAGTTGAAGAGAAGAGCAAGTTGGAACGTTTTCCAACTGCATGTCATTGTTTCTGAGGTGCTAAGATAAATCCATCACTTTCCAGAGATGCCACTTCAAAGGTAGTTACAAATATGTCCTCAGAAACTACAGGATTTAGTGCCTATGAAAAAGGGAAGGGTGGGAGGACCCCACAACCAGCAAACAATCCACCAAAACTGGGTTCTAAGTTATGACATAAGCAATGTTGCCCATATAAGTACTTATTTACAACTGAATTCAAAAACTGATGAAATAAGATGACCGTTCCCCAAACGGTCTTTGCAAAAGATCAAATTACTAAAAATACACAAGATATTTCAGTGAGTATTTTGTTCATCAAGAAAACTGATAAGTTTAAGGCCTTCATGTAAGAGAAATATCTTTGCTTCTTCCTCAGAAGTCAATTTGAAAAATTAACTGGATGCTTCGTCATTGAACTCTCTCAGCAGAAGGGTCTTGAACGTTGGCATGATGTCCTCTAACAAACATTTGGCACACAGAGACAAATATAAAAAGACAAACATTTCAGAAGAATCCACTGAAAGATAAAAAATTTCTGTGCACATGCACAGATATACATGTAATAATACAGGTAAGATGAGCTTTGCCACTACACAGTGGTTCAAGAAGATTCTGCTACAATATTTACTCACAGAGAAACAGCACAGCTTTTAGTGAGGAAGAGTGTTTCCAACTTAAACTGAAAAGTTCCAGTGCAGAGGTCCTGCCTGCACAAAGGTATCGATAAACTAATCATAAAAATCTAAACACAGCTAAACAAATGTTATTTCAGCAATTACCAGCTAACATTCTGTACATGCCTTTATACAGTCAAGTCCCTGGAAATAAAACTCATAAGTATTATTTAGCCAAAAATGGACTCACTGTTCCAAACAGCTCATACGCCTGTGGAGTCCTTTCCAAGCTTAAAAGCCTGAAGTCAGGCAGTGGCTCCCTGAAGCAGCATTTATCTGGTCACACACATCTAGATGACAGCACTGTTGTTCTCATTAGGATGACAACTTCTGGTACTGACAAGTGATTCTTGAAATGTTATTCCTTGCTGAAGCATTTTTGAATGTTAGAGACTGAAAAACAATGAGATATTCTAAGTAGAATAATCAGCTTTTTTTAATTGAAAATTCACATACAGCCTGTGGTACTCTGCAAATGGATGCAAACACAGAGCTTCATATAATACAGTGCCTTTTGGACTGATCTCACAGTTACTTATATATACGCCACCATGAATTGCTCGGTGCAATTGCTCCCGTGTCTGGCTTCACGGGATTAAAAACTAAGTCCACCCAGAGAGTTGTTTTTTCAGAGGCACCAAAGTAGGCTTGTTCAGTCACTCTGCTTGAGATGGAGAGCCTCCCGCCGTTGCTTCTGAACAGTCCTGGAATCTTCCCACAGACTGGGTCCTCTGATGTTCTCCCAGTTATTCAAGTCAGACTTTTCCAGTTTCTGCAGACAAACAGCAAAAATAGCAGAATCACCTTGACAGATCCATGATTTAAAGTACTTTCATCTACCCTGCATGAGAAGTTCAACAAGAAGGAAAAAAAACTAGTCATTATCCATATGGCCACATAAATGATTAGGATGGGCATTATTGCATCTGCTTATCAACACATAAATAAGTTTTAAGGTCAGGAAGCACAGCAGCATCTGAACACGACTGAAGATATCTTGTATTCCCTTTCTCCCTTCTCACCTTGTTTTCCAGATCTATTCTTCAACTGCAAGTCTGCCAAGCACTGAAGTAGTACAAGTGATAACTATTGTTATAGCTAATACAGAAGAACAGCAATTAGTGACCTCAGGTATCCTGTCAGCACAAATACAAAGCAGAGACAAACACAGAGAGACAGCAACAGTGCAAACCCCTTCAATCCATGTGGTTTTAACTTGAGAGAGGTGTGCAATGCTTTCTGCTGACTGGTTTCCCATGGCACCCAGCCATTGCAGATAGGTCTCTTACTAAGTCATACATCAGATAACTGACTGAACTGTCAGATACTTAGAAACTCTAGATTTAATTACCTCCTTGCCTATTCCTATCATTCCCACTCAGAACTACCAACAACTGCAGTATTTATCTAGACTCAGAGGCACACAAAAGCAAACAACAGGAGCCCTCCTGACCTCACCTACCAAGTGCTGCAGTTGAAGAACACAAACATCCACCACATCTTCACAGCCCAACTAGCAGAGGCATGGAAGTCCCTTCCCAGCAGACAGAGACCTCAAGTCTCATTGGACACGACAGGAAGACTGAGGGTCTGCACCACTGCCAGAATCAGGGCTGTTCTACATGTTCTACAGAACAGATCAACACTGCATACCATCAATGCAGTGTGATTTAAACCTCTGATTTGTGATCAGGGCCTCATCTCAGCAAATGTTGTAAAAATATACCAGAAGATACTTAACCCTGCCCTGAGCCTGTGGTCTAATTTTCCTACTGTCAATCATTCAAATAAATGGCAAACATTGAGGGACTTGAATAATAGCTGCAGAATAATTCAAAAGCTATAACAAAATAGACCTGCTGCTACTAGTTCATGTTATGTAAAAGTTTCCTGCCACTTCTACAGCTAAGGAAATTGCAATGAGGTTAGTCAGATATCAAAAGAAATTAGGCAACAATCTACAGAAGATATATGAGAACACATGCACAAACACAGCAGACTTTCACAAGGTAGGAGCAACTGAACTATTTTGTACAGTAGAGTTGGCATAGGTCTTTCTGTAGAATTGTC